TCAACAAACACACACACAAAAAAAAAAAAAAAAACACTCAATTTGATCAAACTATTAATTTGGAAACAAAATAATTTGAACTAGAGCTTTTCAGGGCCAAACCAGTTTAGAGAGAATTAATGTCAAACTATCAAATGGTTCTGATTATAYTGGTTTTTACATGAAGTGGTAAATTTATCAGGAAGCAGCACAAATTATGTTTTGCAGCCTTTAAGATTTTCTTACTTGTTTCTCCACTGCATCCACAGCCTTCCGTCCTTCCTCTTGTGCCTGCTGCTTCATTTTCTCCCCCTCTAAAAGCTTCTTCTCCAGCTGCTTCTGCACCTCTTCTGACTCCTTCAGTCTGACCTCTAGAGGAGAACGCAACTAAAAAATATGAAAAAACAAAGACAGTTACATACCCATGGATGAACAGTCATGTCTTGGGAGCAAAGAACAAGAATATTGTTTGTAAATCCACAAGAAATACCTCCTTTTCTTTTTTAAGGCTGTCTTCCAGAGTCAGCACCATAGATCGATATTGTTCAACTGAGGCATTGGCGCTCTTCAGCTGCTCTGCCAGTTCAGTGTTCTGTTCCTCGGCACGTCGAAGCAGACCCTTAATCTCTGAGAGCTCCTGCTCCGACTGGCTGGACTGCTGAGAAGCTGCTGGAGCTGGAGAGCGTACTATGAAAGAAAAGATAAAYTGCCATAAAATAAAAAGCAAATAATGCAAAAATATACTAGCATTGTTGATGTTTAAGAGCATCCTCTACTAGTATAGACAGTTTATTATGTTGAACTATCACTAGATGTGYTTTTTACCACTCAGTGGTGCTCGGAGGCCAGCAGCTCTGGTAGCTGGGGTGGCGGTGCTGCTGGAGGCGGCTGCAGCCTCAGAGGACGGAGCAGAAGTGGACTGAGCTTTCAGCGCAGCTACCTGCTGTTCAGAGCTACGCAGCAGCTCTCTGGTCTTCTGCAGAAGGGTGGTTTGGTTCTCCAGCTGCTTCTGTACTTCTAACAGTTGTGCCTACAGAGGAAGAGGAGGCGGCACAGCATTACTGAGAGAGAATATTGTTGAGATATAATACAATACAATACAATACAATACAATACAATAAAATACAATATAATATAATATAATTAGTTAAATGTATTTACTACGTCAAAGAACAGCTAATCTTAATAAAGATACAAAGGCTTTACATACATCCATAGAGCGTCCAAGGGCATGTTTCTGAGCAACTTCCTGTTGTAGTCTGGTCTTCATTGAAGTCAGTTCTTTTTCCAGTTGTTCTATTTTGTTGTTAAGTCGCTGACGAGTMTCAGTTTCTGTACGCTCCATGGACAACTGAGCAAATATGACAAAAACAAAACATAAATAATGACATCACAGGACTGAAAAACCATTTCCATCTATTTCCATTAAACATGCTTTGACTAATGTTGTTTTAATAAATTATAAACTGTGTATTTAATCCTAAAYGGTCAAAATTAATCTCAATCAATAACATCTCACCAGAATAAAAAAAATTAAATAGTGAAATGCTTCAGCTTTGAAAATTGATTTTTCTTTTGTAGAACCAACTTTTTGTTGGCTTTGKCACCAGCCCTGACCGTGACCTCTRAAMCTGAGGTCATCTTTCATAAMTGAACTTAACAGTTTTCTTTCAGGAAACAACAGACTTTATTTAGGTCCAAAGTAACTTTAAAGAAAACAGTTCAGTCAGTTATGAAAGACAGGTTGAGAGGTCACGCTACAGTACCACGGTTATTATTCAGAGCATGTAAAGCTCATCCAGTTTATTCTGAGTCATCAGCCTCCTGTTTCATTTAAAAAAATGTAACGCCCATTTTATTCTCAACATAAATGAGCTCTTGTACAAAATATATAGAGCCACAGCAACAACTCACTACCAAGCAGAAAATGAACAAATATCTATTTATTAGAAGCGAAATGTAATACGATACCTGTATGGTCTTGAGGTTCRTTAGCAGCAGGTTCTGATTATGTTGTTCAAACAGCATGGCTTCTCTTTCTTGACCTAACCGAGACTCAGCTTGTTTTAATATGTCTCTCTCTTTAGTCAGGTTTTCTACACGCACCTATAGATAAAAAGATGAAAAATATCAAATGAAGAGTTAAATAAAATGAAAAAAGAAGAAAGCATCTGATATGTTCTTATTATCTAGAAATCATATTTGTTAGATTAATAATCCTCTGCTGAGTGATCACAAACATCTACTGGTGACTCGAACATGACTTGTGTGTCAACAGACAATCATGTTTGGTTCAACACTGAAACAAAGTGCTTAAAAGTGATGTAAAATTGGAAATCAAGGACTAATTGATTCAAAAGGAAAAAAAACACTCTATAAACAATAAAATAACAAAACATATTGTACACCATGTGCCAATTAAATCAACCACATTTATTTTTTTAAATAAGAAAAGTACTTTAAAGAATTAAATTGTTCTTTTACACAATAATCTTCTTGCCCACCTCTTCTAGAGCCAGTTTCTCATTAGTCTGCCTCAGGTCCTGGCTCATAGTGTGGATGATGTGCTCGTGTCTTTGAGCTGTTGCYGCCATTTTTTGGTTCCTCTCCTGAAGGGCAGAAATCTCTCTGCGGTACGCTGACACAGTCTCTTGAAGAATCTCATACCTGACACACACCAACAGGTAAAAAGGATAAGTATCTCACAGCAACATGGAAGAAAAGACTAAAACATTTTTTTTTTTTTTACTTTTAACACACCTCTTGTTACTGAACTCCAGCTGAGAGGTTAGCTTGGCGCGGCCGGAGCGTAGCTCAGTCAGCTGCTTCTGCAGCCGGTCGATAGTCTCATTCTGCATCCTGTCGTTCTCGGCCTTCTCCTTCTTATACAGGGTGAAGGCATCATTGAGCTGAAAATGCACAGAATCACCTCCATTTCAGAACAGCCACAGATTTTTGATTTTCACCACCCACTTAGAGTTAAATGTAAATAAATTAATAAATGAATCCTGARCTCGTACTTGTTTCAAAGCAGCTTTTGTTTGAGCAGTCTGAGCCCACTCTGCAGCCGTGGCTCTCTGAGGAGTGGAGCGAGTAGCTGGGGCTGAAGGACGATCAGGTGCAGGAGAAGCAGCGCCTTGACCTGCAGACAAACTRACTCATTTGAGCTCATCCTATTTACCAGAGTTTATTAGAAGGTTCCTCATWGGTTAGCATTTTGTTTCACCTTGAGGTGGCAGACTGAAGCCTGTGCTCTGGGTCAGCAGCACCTTGAACATGTCYCTCTGCCTGGCGTTGGAGTCTGCCAGCTGTTTCTGCTGGTTCCTCTGCTCCCGCAGCTGATCAGCCTCCTTCTGGAGTTTATCCACAGCAGACTCCAGCTCCTTTATGCTGGAAGGAACCACAGACAGAAACAGGTTTTACCTTTTCATTATCTTAATAGAATTTTAAAACAAGAAGTAAATAATGAAATATTTATTCCTAAATATTTTTGTCTGTTACGGCATTAAAAAACAATAAAATCCCAAAGTGGGACTACTAAAATCCATCCATCCATGTAGAAAACTTTTAAAAAACAGCAGAAAAATGTTAATTTTAATTTAAAACATAGACTTTTTTCTATGAGCTCTTTAATTTTGATCAATTTAAATAGATTTAAAATAAATTCAGAAGTAAACACATGGGAGCAACAAATAAATTACATTTGCAGAGTCTGTAAAAGCTGACAGCAGAAATGAGTGTTGTGAGATTTTGGTTGGCTTTTGTAAACAGTGGAAAATTTTCTGATGCCACATTGAACACAGGTCACCTATATTGACTGTTCCCCCTTTTATTTGTTTTATACACTAACGTGTCAGAACCAGTTCGCAGGACGGCATATTTTAAAGTTTGCTAACAATTCCATCATTGTGTCTCTTTTAAAGTCAGATGACCCTGATCATGGCCCAGTGGTGTCACATTTTATTAACTGGTGTAATTCATCCTTTATAGACATAAACGCCAACAAAACCAAAGAAATGATTATTGACTTCAGGAAAAACACAAATGTCATCTCTCCTGTGTACATTAATGATTAACAAGTTGACGTTGTGGAGGAATATAAATATCTGGGTACTGTAATTGACAGCAAACTCTCTTTTCACAAACATGTGGACACTGTATGCAAGAAGCTCACCAACATATGCACTTTTATCGTAAATTAAGGAGTTTTAACATGGACAGTAGTTTTATGAGAATGTTTTATTGAATCTGTTCTTACTTTATGTTTTATTTGCTGGTATGGGCTTTTGACACAGAAAAACAAAAAACGCATACAACATATTGTCAGTCTTTGCAGTAAAATTGCTAATGTCCCATTAAATGACATCACTACTCTCCACAGAAGCAGATCCTTGAAGAAAGCTCGGGCAATTTTAGCTGAGCCTAACCAACCCCTCTTCACAGAGTTTTCTCTTTTACCATCAGGATGCAGATTTGCTTTAAAAAAGATATTGAACCAACAGATTTAAGAATTCCTTTTTACCTGCTGTTATTGTCATTTTAAATACTTCTTGTTGATTGTTGTGTGTTTGTAGTTTTTACGCCTACACCATGATGGTTTTTATGTTGTTTTTTTTTACTGTATTTGTGGTTSATGATTGTTTTTGTTTCCTGCTTGCTGTGACACAAATTCCCCCATGGTGATATTAAAGATGACTTGACTGTAGTTTAATAAACTATTTGAAAAATTAACATTTTTTCTCCTTAACAGATTTTAAATAAGCTTTAAAAAATCCCTTCTGTCCAGAGGTAACTTAATGGTTTTAGTAAAGAACAGTCATATAAAAACAAAACACTGCGGCTCTGAATGTCTATCATTCACAGCTAATCTTTTTAATTGTTGTACCAGCAACAGGGTGAAAAAATAAATAAAACAGTGAAAAGTAGTTTCATTACCGTGCTGATGTTAGGTGTGTCTGCTCTCTGTCCCTCTCCTCCTCCAGGTCCCTCAGCCTTCCTAACAGAGTTTGGTTCTGCCTCTGGAGATCGGACACGCTGCGGAACGATAGCTGGCTTGAGCCGATGACCTCAGAAGTGCTGGAGATGTCTGCAGAGCTGCCGTCGTCCTTAGGCACCTGATTACCTCTGGCTTTCTCCAACTCAACCAGAACAGAGCACAACTGAACAGGGGAGATATTAATAAGTAAAGACATCTGGATCATTGGGCCTCATGCAAGAACATGTTCGTATTCTTATCCTAAATTTCTCTTACTTTTGTTCGTACGAAGGGTTCGTACGAACATGTCACGTCAGATTCAACAAACTCTTCTATCTTCAGGAAAAGTGTGTAAATGAGCTGCGTAAWTTMCACCTGTTCTATCCAGCTGCTCGTGCACGCGAGAGGAGATTAGCATAATTACCACCCCAAATACACCATATAAGGCTGTGTTTCCTGCCTCAGATATCAGGAAGTGTTCATTCATGAAAAATGACAGCGAAAACTAAAAAGAAAAACTTTACGAGTTCAGAGATTGAAGTCCATCTGTCAGAGATCCAGAAAAGAAAATCTGTCATTTTTAGCAGGTCAGCTGTGGGATAAAAAGAGCTGCTAAATGTATAAACAACTGTGTTAAATCATTTTCATTTATTCAGAAGACACACCGTTGCGCACCGTACACCCCCCCACCCCCACCCGCACGGTCGCAGGTGGTCTCAGTTGCAGTTCTGAAATAAGCATTTTAAAATGTTTTCAAAATAAGTCTGGCACTTTGGAGAAAATCCTGGACTTGATCATATATCCCCTCTGGCCTGGGAACGTCTTGAGTCCCCCAGGACGAGCTGGAAGGTGTCGCTGGGGAGAAGGGGGTCTCTCTGCTGCCACCGAGACCTGATCCTGGATAAGCGGCGGAAAACGGACGAACGGAAAATTTATATTGCTAGTCTAAATTATTACATTTAAAATTATAACTCTAATTCAAGCAGAGTAGCCTATTGTCAACATAATTATGGAGTGTGATTTATTTTCAACTCAAAATATCTTCAAACTAACGAAATATAAAGTTATTAGGGAGGAAAACCCGTCTGGAAAACAGCAGACTGACTGCTCATAAAATGTACGACAGGTCTGGACCACTCGTAAATTTTGTTCGTATCTGAAGAAAATCTTAGAATACGAAAACATTGGTGAATGCCAMAAATTCTCCTAAATCACTCGTACGCACAACTTAAGAACAAATCTGTGCGTACGAAAGGTTYTTGCATGAGGCCCATTGTTCTTCATTTGTAAAACTGATAATGATTTAAACCTGATCAGATGTATCCTCCAGAAGTCTCTCAGTTCTTAGTTTGTTCTTCTCGATGGATTCACAGCGCTGCTTGGCCTCATCCTTYTCCTTCTGCAAACTGTAGATCTCCTAATGGTAAAATAATAAAACGGCATTAATAATTTCTACATCAATAACTAGAGTCGAAAAGTGAATAAATTCAACAATAAAACAACCTACAGTTCGAGCCTGTTCCAGTTTATTGCACAGGGAGGCCATGGACGACTGCATGCTCTCATACTCCTCTCTTTGACGCTTCAGAACAGGCGCCTTGGACTCCACCTCCTGAACGATCTCATCCAGGACCCTGCTTACCCTCCTGGTCTCCTGCTTCTCAAGCTGCAGTTGTGTCTGACACTCAGCATATGCATTATACAGCTAAACACAAACAAAGAGAGGGAAGAATCATTTATAAAAACACAATTATTGGAAGTAAATTTATGTTCTAGTTTAGGTCCATGCTCTGATTTCTGATCATAAAACCTAACACAGTAAGATAAAAACTACTGCTACTTTTTAAATGTATTGTAACACAACACTAAACAATTATTCTTGTTATTCAAGATTTTAGAATAAGTGCTGCTAACAAAATGTTTTAATAATGTCTTATCAATGTAGGATTCACACCTACACTTCTTTGGTCATAAGGAAAGTATTTTAGCAAGGATCTTTTTATTTTCAGTAAATGTTCTTCCAGTGCAAAGTGAATGGACAACACAATAAGTGGCTTCAGTCAGTGAATTTTGATTTGATCCATAAATAAAGTGATCATTTATTTTACATAATCACACAAAATCACTACAGAACCAACAATAACAAGCACGCTTTGAGCTTCGTTAAATGTCATTCAGCACTTAAATAGAACACAAACATCAAGCTTTAGATGTTGAATACCGGACATTTGAGGCAAATAACTTAGTTTGGCAAGGTAGGTTTAAGAAAAGGAGGAATGTAACATGTTAGCTTTCCTAACTTTTAACTTAAATAAATGTGGGTTTAACCAGAGAGGCAAGGCATTTCTCTGCTCAGCGTCAGACAGATAGTGATGCTCATAACAGCCAGCTTTTACCTTTAAAGATGAGGTCCATAACCACAGCTAAACTTACATCAAAGAACTTCATGCCCGGCTTGACGATGGCAGCGATGGCAGCYGCTGTTGGACACATGGAGTCCAGCTGTTCTTCAGTCATAGACGGAACGCCTGCAGCAGAAAACAACAGAAGTGGTGGGACTGACTGTAATATGCAGCTCATTAACAGGATTAATACAGGCATTAAACGAAAATAAAAGTGTGTGTGTTCTTACAACAGTGTTTGCCTGCAGCTTTCATTGTAGCATTTTCCAGCTCCTTTTCCATTTTCTTTATTTTCTCTTTTAGTTCTGCTTCAAGCCGTGTTTTAAGCTCTTCAGCTGCAGACACCTTCTTCTCTAAAGACTTATTGGCTGCAAAGACAAAACATCATCAAAGAAGCTTAGCATACAGAGGGCCACAATTACGTAAGAAAGGTAATGAGGGCCACGTTTTGCTACACTGTTAATTTTATCAAGATAACTCAAAAGCTTCAAGCTGGGGTTCAATAGCAAACAATGAAGATGAAATTAGATTTGTCAGGTTGTTTTACAGGTGATGAGTGTTTCAAACTAAAAACAAGTCGTTATCTTTTTAACTTTTTCTTGAAAACCATTTATTGCTGAACTCCTACCTTCTCCTGTTTCTTTAACCAGCTTGCTGAGCTCCTCCACGGCTCTGCTCAGTTCTTGGTTCTTTGTCTCCATGTCAGTCGCTGCACCCTACAGAACGGTGAAAGTTGTTTCATTACAAACCATCTGCTGTGTTTGATAAACAGGATTTGATAATGTGAAGATAATGCATATTTTAAAACAATGTYTAAACCTAAAATTTATTCATTTATTCTAAGAGCTCTGCTGAGACTGACCTTGTAGAGTGAGGACAGCTTGATGTGAGCACTGAGCTCATTGCGGTATTTCTCCTCCATGGCGCACTGCTCATCTTTTGCCTGGAGGAACACAATTTACTTTTTAGTTAATCTAAACTAATAACCAAGTAAACAATACATTAAATTCCACTAATGTGAGGCTATATATATATATATATATAAAACAACCTGAAAAATATCCTTATGTCTACCTCTGTATATACACTGCTCAAAAAATAAAGGGAACACTTAAACAACGCACTCTAACTCCCGATCTTAATCAATGAAATATTCGCATTGAGTACTTTGTTCTGAGTTGAATGTGCTTCACAAAAGTTTGATTTACTTGGACTTAGCGTGCGTTGTTTAAGTGTTCCCTTTATTTTTTTGAGCAGTGTATATTTCCTTGCATTTGAAAAGCCTGAAGAAGAAAAACTAAATTTCCTTTTCTCTCAATTTACCAAACACAAATTTGAGGAAATGAAAACATAAAATATATATTTTTTATAAATCTGTTATTCTGTAGTGTTGACATCCTCGGTTCTGCTTTAGGAAAATAGAAAGTTTCAAATAGCCAAGATCATCTTTTCATAAGATAATTACCTAAACACATCTATAATTTTTTCCTTTTACATTACCTGTTTTAGTTTATTATTGAGGTCTTCAGCTCTTTTGCTCTGGTTTTCACTGATTTCCCTCAAAGAACTGAGCTCACTTTCCAGACTGGCCACCTGTTTAGGAAATATAGAGAAGGATTGTGAACCAAAAAAACCCTTACCTGTATATCTTATTTGAGAAGGAACAATATGTAAGAGGGAAGCCAGTTGTGTTTTTGTGTGTTTATCAAACATTATTTGCGTTACCTGTTCATTGCTGCTCTTCAGGCTGCCCTGCAGTTCCAGTATCTCTGTGCCCTTCTCTCGATTGGTGTTCAACATTTCATCAGTTTTGGTTTTCAGCTCTGTGGTTAAATACTCAATTTTCTTCTCCAACAGTTCTTTCTCCTGCTCCATGCGTTTCTCTCGATGCTGCAACACAAAATAACAATCATATTTTACTTCATGATAAAAACTTTACTAGGGAGGAAAAACTGCATTCACCACTCTCTTCAACACTAAGCTGTCATGGTCTCTAAAATCTGATTTGTACCTCTACTGAAGCTGCAGATGACTGGATTTCATCCAATTTTAACTGAAGCTCCATCTTTACTTTGTTGGTTTCTGTCAGTTTCTCGTTCAGACGCTTCAAATCCTCTGTCAAAGCACAAAATTATTAAACAGAAAGCTTTTGAAGTTATATCCAAAGTGTTAAAAGATAAGTGTGTGAATTGAAAACAAGCTGAAACATTTTTGAACATTTTTTCAACACAATAAAACTTTATAAAAATTCAATAAAAACCTGTCAGGTTCTCCACTTCCTGCGTTCTCTTCTCCAGCAGCCTATCCAACTCCCTCTTCTCTGCTTCAATCTCATACTTAGTCTTGGTTTGCTATAAAAAATAAATAAAAATAAAAAACTGCAGCACTTCGATAATAATACAATGCTGGTTGTTACATGAACAATATAAGGCTCAAGCCATGTTTAACCACTTTAGCATTATTTTCTTTTAAACACACATTTTATTTTACACTGATCATGTGCTGGTACATGCACCTGATTTTTCCTGCATTCAAAATGACAGGTAATACAGCTTTGGTATGCACGTTTACCTGTTGTGGTGTCTTTTCTTCACCGGCCTCGTTATCTGTTCCTTTCAGGGTGCTCAGCACTTCTTCTGCACAGATGTTAACATTAACATACACAGTTTTAAATGAGAAATTAAAAAGAAAAGGTAGAGAGAGAAAACTAAAACTGCATTTAAATATTAACAGATGTTCACAATATAACTCAACATTAAGCTGAGAAACTGTGTAAATGAAAAGCTTATCTTGAAAATCTCCACACTGTTGGCTAATTCTAATCAAATTAAAATTCTGAGATACTGATTTTTTCCACTGCAACAAAAAAAAATTAAAATACATGAAAACTCACTGAGTTTCTTATTTTCTTCTTTCAGGGCCTGTAGGTCTTTTGTGGCAGAAAGTATCTGTTCCTGACTTTCTGCCAGTCTCTTCTCAATGTCAAAGTACTGCTGCTCTGTAGAAAAATAACAATGAACAGAAAAGCATGACTACATACAATGTTAGCATGAAATTCAACTGATAACTTATGATGTGTTCATTACTTTTCCCACCAATATCAGAATATAAGAGCTGAAAACGACCTGAAGACTAAAAATCAAAAACCAGGGACACATTTTCATGAGAATTACTGGAAATATATTGCATGACATTAAAAGAGCTAATACATCAGCATCTAAAAGCTCCATAAACGGCCATTTCTATAACTTCATACCCACCCAAATACACATCAGTCGCTTTAAAAAAGGTGACACTTGAGATTAGAGCTGCACAATATATTAAAAATTTATCCTTATTGTGATAACAGCCTGTGAAATATGCATATCGCAAAAAACTGCACTAACTGCAAAAAATGGTTGGCAAAATATAGCTTTTACGCATTTTGTAACTCGGACAGAAGCTTGAAGTATTTCTCCAATCAAATAGAGCCCTTTGTGTATTTGGCCAGTTGGATAGATTTCTTCTTCTTCTTCATAATAATAATAATAATAATAATAATAATAATAATAATAATAATAATAATAATAAATGTTGTAATAAAAATGATTAGTTTTTGTTGTTTGCTTTGAACCCAGAGCAGAAAGACATCAACACCACATCTTTATGTATTTGTTAATTTATCGCAAGTCATATCATCATTACAATATTAAGCTTGTTATCGCACATCGCAGGTTTTCCCTAAAATCGTGCAGACCTACTTGAGATGATAAAAGCTAAAAGTTCCATTAGTTTAGTTCATAATGTCAACAATGACGCGCCAACTCTACAGTGTTGATGTGTTCAACAGCAAACAAAGAAAAAATATGTTTTAACTTTAAATTTGAAAGAGGTGTTTCATAATGTTTGACAACTATAATTTATTTCGGCATAAGGGAGTGGAAACCTTAGCATCTTTGTCAGGTCTGAAACCTGTTGGCATCACGACTTATCGCTAAAGCTAGCTTTAGCGCAACATGATCATTGCTAAAGGTTAGCGGGGAGTTTAGAACCGTAATCAAACTAATAGGACGACAGCTTGCATGCCGAATGGAGCAGAAAATATTTGTTTTGCATGCTGACTTTTTACACAAATCGCAGAGTGCAGTTGACAAAGATAATGTCAAAGTCGAATTGACTTGTTTGAAGTTACCCACCACTGTCTGCTTTGAACCGCTCGTGCTGTGTCTTGAGCGCCTCATTAGCATTCTGCAGCTCAGTCACAAACTTCTCAAGCTTGTTTTGGACGCCTTTCGGAAGTTTGTTCAACTCCGTCCGCTCTAAAGCCTGGAGTAAAACGACCGCCATCTCCACCTACTCCTCCGAAAAAAAATATAACACAAAATTGTCCCAAACTCTTCTCGAAATGTGAACTGCGCATAGGAAACCAGGAGAACGGAAAGACGTAAATAAAGGTTCAGGATAAACTTCAAAATAAAAGTACATTAGGAATTTATGCCAAAATCAGCTTTCCGATTCACATACTGCACCACATAAACAAGTTTAAAATTGCCACAAATCATTTTTTTGTTAAATGAACATTTTTAGCTTCCCTTTTGTGTCCAACATACTTAAGCTTTGTCGCAAACAGAAAGTTTGAGTTTTAATTTGAAGGGAAAATCTCTACCTTGCGTGACAAACAGGATTACGACAAAGACCTGCGACGGATGTGCATCACAGTAGTTTACTGGCTGCTGACGAACCACAGCCAGCTGTTAAACTGAGAAGCAGTCCTCCAGCTTTCTGGCTTATATATTTCGACTCCTTTATTTTTGTCAGGTATTTCCCCACCACACGTGGAACTTCTACAATCTTAATTATATAACTTATCAAGCAAGAGTTGACCAGCTACTGCTGACATGTTTTCTGACATGTATCAGCTGAGCTTTACGTTTTATTAGATGTACAGATTTTCTATTATTTCAATGAAATAAAATATTGTATTGGATTGGTCTCGTTTAGTAGTGTTCTGTTCATGCACATGTTTCTAAGCACTGTCAKTACAAACACTGATAAGCAAAATGTTCAGTAATAACTTTGTGTGTTTGTATTTCTTTCTTCGACAGCATGGGTCGTAGCTTTATAGTAGAAGAYGATGTGGAGGGATATCTATCTAAACTCTGTTCACAACAAACAGGTTTAGTCACAGGCTTGCTCATTGGACAGGTGAGTTTTAACACAAATACATATATCCAGGTGAYGTGTCACGTTAAAGAGTAGAGCTAAGGCTTRGTGTTGTATAAAGTACCTCAAAGTGATACTTGAGTAAAAGTACAAGTATCTTATCATAAAAATACTTTGGTAAAAGTTAAAGTTTTCTCTAAAAATATTACTTGAGTAAAAGTCTTAAAGTATCTGACATTTTTTGTACTTAAGTATCAAATGTAAAATTCTGACACAAAATCTACTTAAGTATTAAAAGTAAAAGTACTGAGTAAAAGTGAGCAGTTAGATTTTCCAAAATGACGTTTATTGGGAGGTTACTTCTCCAAAAATATTTTTCAAATGGCATGCAGCTGTGATGTGTTGTGTACAAGCTAACACGGTGTCAGAATGGTATATATTTATACTTCTCATCCAACCACAACTAAATTCACTCTGTCCAGGAGACACAATTTATCAGGACAGTATTTTTAAAGTAATAACTCGGAATACAATAGGAGTAATGACTTTCTACTTCTTACCTTTTAAAAAATGTATTGAGTAGAAAGTACAGATAATTGTGTAAAAATGTAATGAGTAAAAGTAAAAAGTACACTGGAAAATAATTACTCAAGTAAAGGACAGATAACCAAAATTTCTACTTAAGTACAGTAACAAAGTATTTGTACTTAGTTACTTTACAACTCTGCTAAGGCTATGATTATTTTCATTGTGTACTGAGAAATAAATGAATTATTTGGTTAAAAATGTCAGAAATGTATACTATGTTAAAGATATGACATGATTTGAAGTAGCATTACATGATGGATTGTCTAACATCATATAACCTGTACCTTTCACAAAAATACAATAACATACTTTATATTTCAGAACCTGTGACCAGTATACATTCAAGAATTATTTGTAAAACGTACTAAAATATAAGTTTTGTTATTATAATTGTTTAATATTGTGAGAATGTGTAGTGTATGAGAAGTGACTGTTACCAGTATTGATTGAATGTTTCAGAGTTCAGTCCAGAGGGATTTTGTTGTCATGGCAGTTAGGACACCCCTTAAAGAGGAGTCTGCAGAAGAGGGGAAGTGGATGGACAAAGAGTGGGTCACTGAGCACGCTCGACAGGTAGGCAAAAAAAAGCAAATATTCTGATTCAGTACTACAGTTTAACATTTATTGTTTGATGGGTAAGATAAATCTGTTTATAACAAGCAAGACAGATGAAGGACTTTGAAAACTGACCAATGTTTGCAGGCTTTAAACTTTACAGAAAGCCTTTATTAATGTTTTCTAGGTGTCCAGGATGCTGCYTGGAGGTCTGTCTGTCTTGGGAGTCTTTATAATATCTGATAGTGACCCCAAGGACACGCTTACCACACTGCGACAGGTAAAAGCCATTTCAACACAAACATAAATGAGCTAACATTCTTGTTTAACAAAAACAAGATAATCTGAAAATTTCAAACTTCAGGATGTAGCTACACCCGTGCCTACTGCGGTACCATTGAGGTACCACAATAATCTGGTTTGCCTCATCCATCCAGACTCAAAATAAATTTATGATTTTATATCTGTGGGTTTATTTCTATTCATGGCTACGCTTTAACACATACTGTATCAATTTGTAGAATGTAATTTAGACAAAAAAATAAGTATTTTGTGATCTCAACAGGAACAACAGAACCATTTGAGGCAGAAAAAACTAAAAACTGTTTGGGGATTAAATTGAGGTTAAGCTGTTGAGTAAATCAACTTGTCAAAATGTGCAGATTTAATGTGCCTACCGTATATTTTATTATAAATGTGATTATTTTTTAAATATGTGTATCTCACAAAATTATCATATATTTAGTTCCATATTTTTTACTTGCCCAGATATCATGATCTACCTTATGTGTTTTGTATTTTTTTTGGTTTCTCTGCTTTACTGTATTAGCACTATTTCAATGTACCTGAAAAAGGATTGTTATTATGTAAATTAAAATCTCCTAGAGCTGGGTGGGCTTTTAATGTGAAACAACTAGCAAACCTTTAAAACTCTGCATTTCTGTCACCAGTGAATAATTTATGTCACATATTTCTTCCAGACTTGTTTATCAGGTGAGCACACCGAGGACAACATAAAAACTTATATGTCTAATACAATAGTTATTTTAGGTTACCTGCTTTATAAATGTCTCATTCAAGCATTGATCAAACTTGGCAAAGACTATATAAAATCAGAATATTATACCCATTTAATACCATGTGTGTGTTTGTGTGTGCAGTTGGTGTTTGCAGTGAACAATTTAATCTCCTCGGAGCAGCTGTGGAGCCCTTCGGATGAAGATGTCTCAGACTGCGTCACGCTGCACGTCAATCCCAAAACCAGAAAGTATCCTTTTTCTTTCAGTCACGTCCCTGCCTGAAGTTACTACCACACTTTGTATGGAGATCAGCTTTAACCACACGCATCAGAACTGTCTGTAGAACCTTTGACGTCAGAGACCCAAAGGTTGGTTTGTGGAAAAAGAATCAGCTTTAATCTGCAGTTATTATTAAAACTGTTCCAGTTAATCCTGCCTTCATGAATACTGTCATGGTAAAACTTAAAACACCAGGGTTCAAAACATCCAGACTAATTGGTCTTTATCACAACTTAAAATAAGAACTTCACTCTATTTATCTGCATTTTCCTTAGTTTTGTTAAATAATGGGTCAAGATTAGATTTGAATTTGTATTTATCTGAACTTCATACCTGATAAGGATATCCTTCTAATAAAACCTTTGTGTTTTACCACTGCTGTACTTCAGTAAAATATATACTAATATATGGACAGTGTGTATTTATCTTGGTTTTGGTCACATATCTACAAAAATGTCCATTCAGGTTGATTTTGAGCGTTTGAGACTTTTTTATAAATTTAATTTTAACCTGTAGCTAAATCAGTTTATTGTGAGTATTTGAGATTAAGATTATGTATTCTAGTTTATACTTTATACTCAAATTGATTTAAATACCTTGGAATCCAATTTGGGCATCAATCCCTCCCAGATTTGATGTGATTTTTTTATTCTTGATGTGTTCTGCTGTTGTCAGTCACATCTGTGTGTGTGTGTGTGTGTGTGTGTGTGTGTGTGTGTGTGTGTGTGTGTGTGT